GCCTCCCCACTCCCAATAAAGTACCACAACCCTGACCTGGAGGGAGTAGGATAGTTGAGTCTTCATGGCCCAAGTCATGATGTCACACCTGTCACTGACTCTTGGTCGCTACCAAGCTGGGCCAAATGTGACCTGGTGACGTCACCGTGAAAGGCTTCATAGCCATTGAACAGTCCCCTAACCGACCCAGTCCTCCAGGTTAGACATTTGTATGGAAAGGAGAAAAGAAAAAGGCCCCACTTCAGTCTTAAATTGTAGAGAGTATTTCTGCAGCTTTTATAGATTTCCTTCTCTAGACATTTTATGACACAAACTGGAATGGTCGGCTGAATTCGCAAGGGCCCTGCCACACGCTCAACAGTCTCACTAATATTTGTTGGAGCTGGTGAACAGAGGAGCACATAGTTTATCAGTTATGAATGAAGATTAAATAGAGAAAAGAGATGTGTTCTGTTACCTGATGGGCATTCCTTGGATTGGCTCGTGTTCCAAGCCGGATGAGAGACCAGGCAGGTTATACTGGTCTCTCTAGGGCTGTATATACTGAGCACAGTCACTGTCCCGTCTGTGTGATTTTCAAGCTCAGTCCTGGGATCTCCGGTTGGGTCCCAAGAGACCTGTGCAGCTGGTTTCCCTGCAGCTGCCTTGCACACAGCGGTCCCTTTACTGTCACAGGTCAAGGTCACCACAGGAGGGACTGCAGGACAGGAGAAAGGGGAAAGAGTTGAAATTAGTTTGTTGCACGTAGAATGGCAACTTTCCTCATTCCTATACAAGAGGAACATCGCAGAAAGAGGAGAATGGGAGTGAAGACAGTATTGCAATAAATAGCAAACACCTGCTACAGCAAAATAGATAACAAGGAGTCCTTACAGCTCTTGAAATAGGGGTATCCCTTGGATGAGAGGGTGAGTGAAAACCTTAGGTGTACCATTTGGACTACCATAGATAATACCCTGAGACACAGCTTTGGGGAAATGAAATACCCGCTCCTCACATGGCAATTTATCCGGGTTCAGTTTGAGACATATAAGCTCTCAGACACCCTCCACTGTCAAGTTGGAACAAAAACAAAAGAAAAGAATCTGTATCACTTCAGAACTGGAGAATGTTGAGAGCTAAAGTGGGAACTAGGAAAAACAGCTGAGAGGAGGAAGGCTGGGAACCACAATAAGCAAAGGTGCATTCCTGTAGGCCCTTTCCTTCAACTGTTTTGACTGACCAAGTTTCCCAGCTCCACCTCACAAAGCGAATGGCTGGGACCAGGAGCTCATCTATCACCCAGGTTCCACTGCATTGTCTCGTGTCATGACTCCTAACAATCTCACCCACTCGTGTCAGTTTTCTCAGGGATGCTGTGTAGAAATGGGCCTGAATCCAAAACCCCATATCCAAAAACTTCAGCTCTGGATCCTGATCTACATTTTGTGTCATCTGCTGCTGATCCCCGGCAGTAGTTAACACAGGGGTGTGCGTATATTTCTTATCCCTGGGGTGTCTTTGTCTCTTTTCCCCCCTCTGTTTTAGTTAATTTTGCAGTAGTAAATTCTTATGGTTATATCATTTGATATAGTCTTTCCAAAATTACCTGGGGAACTTTCAGTATTCTGATCTAGTTACTGCCCTTGTGTCAGGTGGGTCACCATGGTCATCCTCCTTTGTTGTGCACAAGCTAATGCACTAATGATGTTCCTAGCAAATAGTCTCTTTATGCTTGAGGCAGAAATGTTACAGGGGTAGGATAGGAGGAACTGGATGTCCCAGGGGGTTGGTAATAGGCTCTATTAGCCTTTTACTTGTGGCTTATCAGTTCTAAACCAGATCAGGTTTGCAGTAATTGAAAGTCATTACTATCTGCTGTAGTGAACCGAACTGACCTCAGTCCTGGTGCTAACAGACTTGGTTTACACTTGCCAATGGGCATCCAGTCTCAGAAGAGAGACCAAAGAACAATTGAACACGGGGGGACTGAACTATCATTATTCCTAAAAGGGGCCTCACTAAGTAGGGTTTAAGGTGCATTGACTTGTTTGCTATACATGTTCTGTGGAGAGAGGATTTCAATCTCCAGAACTGTCATGCTGGAATTTCTCACAAGCATGAAGGCTCAGATCCTCAAAGGTATTTAGGCTCCTAACACCCATTGAAATCAGTGGAAGTTGGGAGTCTAAATACTTTTCAGCATCTGGACCTAAATTAACTTTAGAAAAGCAGTTTCCTGGGGGGATGGCTTGGGCTGGGGCTGTTTGTTCAGAAGCCCCTCTACCAAATAGCCAAAGATCAGGTAGAAAAATAGCTCATGGGCAACCTGTCCAGCCCTAGAAACCAGGAGAAAGGTTTGTGGTGGGAAAGGAGGACCAGAATGTAAAGAAGTTGGATGTGAGAAGAGACCAGAATGAAGTCACATAAGGGGATTAACCCAGCAGACATCCTGAACTCCTTAGTTCTTGGAGTTCTCTGAGCCTATATTCTCAACTTTCTAAGAGATGGGGAGGTTTATGTGTCAGGCATGAATCTGATTGTGCAGACAATTAAGAACGTCAGAAACTGTTACTTACTTAATACAGTCAGAGTGTAGGTTTGATTGGAAGTTCCATCGCTGGTTGAAGTTTCACAGCTATAACGTCCCTCATCTGTGAGTGTCACTTGCCGTAACTGAAGTGCACTATCAGTTTCAGGACTATATTTCCAATCCATTCTCTCACTGCAGTTTGTTCTGTTTGTCTCGTTCAGATCACGTCTGTATGCCAATGTGCAGTGATTTCCAGTCCTTGGGCTTATCTTCCATATTACTGCTACCAGATCCACCACTGAAATGTTACTACAGTTCAGATTAACGCTGGAACCAGCTATTTTAGACACTCTGATGTTATCTAGAAAAGATGCAGGAAGAGAAGGACACTTGCAAAGGTCACCCAGAATGTCATTATAACCTTGGATCTCTGGGGTAACATCTCTAGTATTATATAATATTCCATAGTAAGATCCCACCTCTGCAGATACTAGACCCATTTTCTTGCATCCCATAGCTTTAAACGGTGACTGATAACCTGACTTTCAGTTTTGCCACCAGTCCACAGGATTAACCTCTCTGCTCCCATACTCTGTAGAACCTGCTGCCTACTGCAATCACTGCCAAGTTTCAGTATAAAGATGTTATTGCAGAGTGGAGCCTGACTGAGACGCAGGGCACAGCCATACATACTGGAGGAGCTCCTGGGGTAACTTTATTTTTTTCTTCTTCTTGCTTTGGCTGCAATTGTGAGGCAAATGAATGATAGGGAGGGAGTAACATTAGCAGTGCAACTGTTCTGTACTGCCCTTGGCATAAGCACAAATCAGGAGAAGTTAGACATTTCTGAGCCACTTCCTGCTGCTCCAGCCACAATGGGAGTTAAACTGCCATCTTGGAGTAGCTGGAACTCAGCAGAATCAGAAAATCCTTGCAGGAGCTGTATGCTAAGGATTGGTGTATATGTAAAACTTATACTGGGGTAGCTATGTCAGATAGGGGTGTGATTATTTTTTACCAATATAGCTATGCCAGTGTAAGCCCTAGTGTAGATTCAGTTATCCTAGAAAAACAGTCCAACTTTGAAAATAGTTTCTATTCAACATATCTTTCCTCCTCTTCCCTCCCAAGGCCAAATTGTGCCCTGCTACACTTGAGTAAATCTGAATTAGGTCCTTTGATTTTAGTGGCGTTATGCCAGATTTACATTGATGTTATGGAAAACCAAATTTGAATGTTTGTATTTGATATTTATCAGGTCACTTCTCTGATAAGAACGAGTTTCTACTCCTCTTAGGCCTGCAAAGCCCATACAGACACAGGAGAGCGAGCTGGGGTCTATTCTGCCTCACTGAGCATTGACAAAACTCTCAGTTAAGTTCCAGTGAAATAGTCTTTACTATCGATGGTAGAGGAAGCTGAACAAAGAACCCAGCTGCATTTTCAGATCACAGGTGAAATTTGTGGAGTTGGCAGTTAGAAAAATCTTATGACTGCTAAGTTGAGCAAATTTGTCCTGCGATTGCAGAGAACAAATAGGGAACTTCCCTCCCCCCATCTCCTTTTAGAGTTTATTCTGGATATAAAATCCATATGAAGTCCAGTACAACTTATTTTCATGGCTGAATCATCAGCATCACCAACCCCTGGGCTGGGCTGCTTTAGGTGTGAGTTAGTGACATGCCAGTGGATGGAGGAGTCTAGTAGGTGGATCTCCAACCAAACCCATCCCTTGTATAGTGGGGGTCCAGCAGGCCTTGATGCTGCTACAGCCCATGGGCTGCAGTCCTACCCATAGAGCCTTAAAACCTGCGGATCCCATTCTCTCACCCCATGGAGATTCTCTATGCAGAACTATTCACTTTGATTTTAAACTTCTTGGGGCAGGGACCATCTCTTTGTTCTGTGTTTGTCCAGCGCCTAGCATGGTGAGGCCCTGCTCCATGACTGGGCATCTAGATGGCACCATAATACAAATAATGATTAATAATAATGAGATTTTTTTGCAGGATGAGAGGATTCAACCCCAAGTATAGGGTTAACTTCTCCTTCCCAATCTCTCACAGGATGATGGATGTCTCAGTGCTCTGAGTTATGCCAGTACTGTGCGGCACCAGGCCACCCTCTCTTTCCTAACCACTCAGCGATGGCCATTCGATCAGGAAGTATATTGCCATTATGAAGGTTTGGACTTTGTGAGCTCCGGAAATCTTGCTTCTTGCCAGCACTTAAATTGTTTTCTTGACTGGGCTCAGTATCAGATCTGATGGAATTTCTTGCCTGGGAACCTTTGTATAAGGAAAAATAGGAATATAACTTTCAAATTAGCTCACTAACGTCAAGGGGAAACTAAGAGTCTCTATCCGATTGGTTGCTGACAATACACCTCTTCACAATCTGTTCAAAATGGCTAAAAGATGCTTCATGCACAGCGAGTATTGTTGCAATAGAGAGCTCATCTCCTCCCCCTTCCCCGCTCCCCTGTGGCCTGTAGCAGCTTGTCCTTTCCTGCCTGCACAGTGTCGAAAAGTAGCTAACACATCCATGCTGCTGCTGGCCATGAACATAACCCAGCCACCTCCTTTTCCCTGGCTACTCTGCAGGCAGGAAGGGATTAAGCCCTAAGGATGCATTGTGCACCAGTGCTCAGAGAGAACCTGACTGCAGGGGCTTCAGCGAACCCAGCCAGAGAAGTGGCTCAGCAGGGGAGGGTGCCTAGGGGACGGAGCAGCCTCCCGCTCCCTGGGGGCAGAACCAGGGTTGGGAGGTGGGTGGGGGTGGGTAAAGAGGGTGTAAGACCCTGCCTGGGGGGCTGCTGTGGAGCCTGCAGGGTCGGAGTGTGAACAGGCTGGAAATCGCTTTCCTCTCCTCCCCCCCGCCACTCCAGAGCTTAGCTGAGGCGCAGAGAGGCTTCCCCTTGCCAGCGCTGTGTGGGGCTTTAGCACATGCAGGGCTCGGCTCCTCCTGGCCAGCTCCCTGGGCCGGAGAGTCTTGGGCTTTCCTGGGGCACCGGCTCAGCCAGAGGCAGTGGGGGAAGGAAGGCGCCTGCCTGCCAGGCTGTTGATGAGCTCAGCGCTCCGACCAGGGGCTGGTTCTCTGCACAGCGCTGGGAGCAGGATGTGCCCCACGGGGGGGATCGGGGGAGGGAAGTGGAGGAGCAGTGGGGCTTGTGTGGGTGAAGGGACAAAGCAGGGAGAGGACAGTGAGATGGGGACCACGTAAAGGGCCAATGGCTGGGCAGCAGAGGTGATACGTAACTGGCCGCCACCTGGCATCTGCCTGCAACTCAACAGCCAACACAGCGTGCAGCCAGTGCTGGCCAGAAACGGGACAGGGGGCAGGGGACCTGAAGGCAGAGGGCCGGCACACAGTGAGGACTGCGCTGACGGACCAGCCCGGGGAGCAGCTGGCCCCATGCACTGCAGCTTTGCCCCACTGCCAGCCTTGCACACCCATCCCCATTGTCAGCCACGGGACCCCCCACTCACCACTGGTGGGCAGGCAGCTGGGAAGCAGGGATCCAGCCAGCAGCAGGACCCACCAGTACTGATGGGGAGGCGGGGTGAGACAGAAAATACGGGACAATTTGCCCGTTTATAAGAAAAAGTCGGGACATCTGCAGGAGGGCTTAAATACGGGACTGTCCCTTTAAAAATGGGACATCTGGTGACCCTACTAGTGACAACAGGCCTGGTGATCACAGGCAGATATAGTGGATGAAGAGCAGGTCTAAGATGCCAGGAACAATACATAATCAACTGTGTCCTTTAATTAAAGCAGTACTGATAAGTACAGCATTTACATGACGGAAACATCCTAACACATTCCCCTTCCCTCTATCCATAGCAGCTGCTTGGTCCCAAAGAGAAGTCCAACTTACCCGTTGTTACCATGGCCACAGCGACGGTGAGCAGAACGAAGGCACAAAAAGTCTTCCCAACACAATTCATGTCAACTTTTGCTTTCATCGCTCACACAGCTCGCTCGCTCCATCCATCC